CGATTTTCTGTTTATTTTTCATTTACGACACATGCCCTCGTTTTTATTCCAAACCAGAGGGAAATAAAGGGAGATCTATCTTCACTGGGGTCTAGGCTAAAATTTTGCCATAAATACGCATGCCGGTTTATTTGGGGCCAGTTTTCCATCAACAGAAAACGACAGACGGCGTTTCAGCCACAGTAGAATCAATTGTGTCGATTGAATTGGAGGAGCTTGGCAACTCGTTTGGAGAAAAGAGTTCCGGCAGGCGCTCCCCAGTGGTTGTGTCCTGCCTGTGGCAAAGCTCTCTGGAATCTTCTCTGCCTTCTGGTTCCTCACGCTCCCCCCTCTGCACACACCCTTCTGGCTCCCCAGCTTCAAATGGGTACTGCCAGGAACATGTATGCACACCCCCAGCTTGAAGGCAGGCATGCTGGTTGGCAAGGGCAGCCAAGCACCTATTTCCCTCTGCAAACCAGTTCTTCTAAGGAGCTGATCCAGGAAAGCCTTGACTCCCAGGCTGACCACCAAGAGCATGGTGGCCTGAGGAGAGCATTGTACTTCCAAGGCATTGGCCAGGACAGGCAAGTTCAGAAAGATGACCCTTAAGGTGGCTTTGAGCACCTGTGGACGGAGAAAGCCTGGCCAGGAAAGGAGTTCAATCTATTCTGGCTTCCATAGGGAACTGGCACATCCCCCACACCTTAGGCATCCAACTGTGAAAGTTCCCCCAGTCTGTTCGAACCTGTCCTAGATGTGGGAGCCCCCGGTGCCAAGGACTGCTTGGTCTCCCCAGGCTGTCCTCTCCAGTCTGATCCTTTCCCAACTAGATTCTGTAGGCCACCTCCAGCCTCAGCTGAACTCTAAGCTTTGTGCTCCCTCCCCAAACCTGGGACAACCAGCAGGCACCTCATCTTAGCTAGGCATCACAGGGATGCACATCCCAGAAGCTCTTGAAGTAAGCTTGGCTTGGGGAAAGAAGGCAGAGCTGTGCCTTTCAGTCCTTCCTACCCACTGTCTTTAAGCTCAGTGCTATCACATTGCTCAATTTTGCAAGCTAAATAAGCCCAGGCCTTTACCCTTTCCAGCCCTCATTCTTCCTTGCTCCAAGGAGGACATTTCAAGCTGTAGTAGATAGGAGGAAAGAGAGCCCTTGGTGCTGAACAAAACTCCTCTAGCAGCTAGATTAAAAGGATATGAGTGCAGGTCAGACTTGCAGACCACAAGGCAGCCAGGGAGGAAGTCAAGGAAGTGTCTGGGGAAAATCATCCAAAGTTACACACCCTGGCAACATGAAAGGCTTCATTTTTTTTTCTTTTTAATTAATTCAATTTCACAACAACATTAAGTGTAACAATATTTCATGGGTTTTTTTTTTCTCCTTTTTTCTTTCTTAAAAAGGGACTGAACCCCTGGCAGAGGTCAGGTAAGTGAGGGCAAACAGACTATTCCGAACAACAGAACAACAGGTGTAGCCAACAGGAAAACAGCAAGGGGCCCTGTGGAGTTGAGGGTGAATTTTACAAGAAATCTGTACATTTATCAAATAAGTTAAGATTCTTCTAGGTTGATTGTCCTTCACGTAAAGCGCTGCAGTCTGGCTGACTTACTCTTCTGAAAATGACTAGCTTAACTTACCTTCTTATCTTCTTCCCCCCTTTCTCCTGCTTAATCTCTCTACCTGAATTATGCTCTGGAATGGTCTCTATCCCTCGCAGAGGAAGGAGCAAGGCTCTCAGGAAATTTTGTACAATATTGCACAGGTCAATGTATGACAGTTGCAGCAAAATCAAAAGGCAAGGGAGAAGAAAAACATACCTTCCTTCCTTCCTTCCTTCCTTCACAAAAAATATTGAAACCATTCTCTCCAAACAGGGAACAGAGTCATAACAGTAATATTAATAACTTACTAACCAGTGAACTCCCCCTAAGTAAATGGTAGTAATAAATAAGACCACAGGAACTCAGCCAAACCTGGAGCTGTTTCCAGTTTTAGAATTCTGATTTTTGATTGTTTTATCTTTTTCCTTTCTGCATTTAGAGAATTCTTCCATCATAGGCGGAGATAAAGAGGTTAATTGCCATAAATCGGCCGAGTAGGGTTTTAACGAAAGACCGCTCAGATTCTGAAAAAATACCCAAAAAACAAAAAACCAGGAAAATAACTGATTGGGGGTGGGGAAAAAACCACACCCAGAAATCCAGATATAAATATGAATTCAGAATATGAATTCGCTTTCTCTCTGGATTCTGAAAATAGTTCTATAGAAAATGAATCAACTAAATGGAGTCGAGTTTTGAGCTTATTTTCCATTAGTAAAACAAAAAACAAAGAACAAAAAAAACAAAAACAAAAAAGTCACGGCGCAATGAAAATTAAGGAGAGGGCTGTACAGTTTACAAAAGCTTTCAGTGCAGTTTTGACCTGGGATTTTTGTCTTTTTTTTTTCCCTTCTTCTTCTTCCTGTTTTCTCCCAATAGTAACCCAAACCCAAAGTAAGAAGCGCCTCAAATCCATAGGGTTCAATTGCACGAAAATGCATTGCAAATACTTACAAAATGCTACGGTTTGGGGGAGGTGGGGTGGGAGGCCAGGCAGTGAGCCGAGGCCCCGGTTCCCGCGGCAGTTGGGCGTGTCGGCGCCCACTGCCCGGCCCAGTCTCCTCCCGGGTCCGGAAAGACGGCCGGGTGCTCCCTCCCTCTCCCCTCTCGGGCCTCAGACAGGCCTTAGCAGCGGCACGGAGGACACCACCGGGTGCGAGTAATAGACCGGGTGCGGGAAGGTGAGCAGCGGCTGGCTGACCGGCACCGGGGCCCCCGCGGCAGCCGCCGCGCCCTCGGCCGCTGAGTTCTCGTGGTAGAGGATAGGCACGCGCACGATGCGCTGCGCCGCGGCGTGGCTCAGGTTGGCCGCCTCCAGCTCGGCCGCCAGCTGCCGCTTCCACTTGTTGCGGCGATTCTGGAACCAGATCTTGACCTGCGTCTCGGTAAGATGCAGCGAGGCGGCGAGGCCCGCGCGCTCCGAGCTGCTCAGGTAGCGTTTCATGTCGAAGGTGGACTCCAGCTGGAAGACCTGGCTGCGCGAGAAGACCGTGCGCGTCTTCTTCTTGCGGCACGCGGGCTTCTTCTCCGGGCTCTCGGCGCCCTTCTTCCAGTCCTCGGAGCTCGGGGTCGCCGCGCTCGCCCCTACTGTCGTTCCCGCCGCGCCCGGCGCCGCCTCGCCTTCCTTCTTCCCTTCCTCGGAGTCGCTCTCTTCCAGAATGATCTCGTCCGGGCTCTTGGAGTCCAGCTCCTTGTGGTCTGGGTCAGCCTTGAGCAGCGGCTCGGGGGAGTCGCGGTCGGTGCCGGAGGCGGGGGAGGAGTCTCGCAGGAGGGCCTTCTCGGAGGCTGGGAAGACACAAGCGCACGCACACACGCACACCGACACGGCCTTGAGCGACGCGGGAGTCTGGGCAGCAGGCTCAGCCCGCGCTGGCCTCCAGGTTCCCGGGCCTTAGGCCTCAGCTTTCCCGCGCCCCTCCTCTGTCCCCTAATGGGCTGCAGGGGCGCAGCGACCTAGGATCCCTCGCCTCCCGAGCAGAGGACGTCGGCAGCGGGACTGTTTCTTCCACCCCCTGGGCTCCCCAGCCAAGGGGCCCGCGGAAAACTGGCCGTGCGTTAGGGTTCAACCCACCCTAACAGACGGTCCCCAGTTCTGGCCGTGCTAAGCCACTCCATTCCAGCCTGAGACCCCCTTCCGGGAAAGCGCCGTGCCCCGGGCTCCAACTCCTTTCTCAGCAAGTGGGATTGGATCCCGGGGCCTCGCCACTTAGCGCGCGGGAAGGAGATGCCCGCGAGGGGCCGGAGGAAGTTTGCCAAACCTTGGGTTTGCGGGTGTGGAGGGGGACCCAGAACCGCAGTGGCAAGCGGCCCCGGGGCGGGGATGGGACGGGCCCGCTTGGGGGGTGGGTAGGAGAAGAAAAGTTCAAAGAGAGGTCAGTACCTGCAGGTCGCGGGAGGTGGCCGCCGGCGGGGGTCAGGGTGTAGGGGTACCACCAGGCCGGGGAACGCTCCAGGTAGTGTGCGGGCAGGGCAAACCTCTGCGCTGGGATCTCAAAGCGGGGGAAAGCCAGGTCGCCCACCTGCGAGAGCGCGAAGCCCGCGGCGCCCTCCAGGGCCCCTTTGGCTGCGGCGGCTGCAGCGGCGGCGGCGGCAGCGGCGGCCGAGGCCGGCGCGAAGAGCGTCCGTGGGGGCGGCTGCGGCTTGGGGGGCGGCCGGTGGTGGTCTCCGTTGAGCAGGTTCTTGATGGAGAACGGGGATTCCTTGGGCGCGGGAGGCTGGGACGGCGGCTGCGGGGGAGGCGCGCTGGCGGTGCCGGAGGCGTCCGGCCCGGGCTCAGGCATGGTCCCCACTCCTCCGGGTCCCACCGAGGGAGGGAGCGGGACAAGCGGGCGGCGGGGCGAGCAGGCTAGCGGCCGGAAATCAGACCATAAACGGAACTCAACTAAGGGGCTCAAAGTCGGGGGCCGCCCCGGGCGCAAAGCGAGCGGCTGGAGGGTGGGGTGGGGACCGGGCCGGGGCGGGCTCGCATGGGGGAGGGGTCCAGAGGGGCGGGGAGCGGCCCAGCCTCCGCACCTAGGGAGCGAGGGGGCTCGGCTGCGGCTCCCTGGGAGGAGGCAGTGAGAGCCGTCCCCGGGCTTGGGGATGCGTCAATCCGGCGCCGGATGCTAATGATGAAATCAAAATGTCATCCAAGTTAAATGCGGGGAGTATACGGCGATTGGGCGCGTACAATGGCAAATGGGATTAGGCCGAGCCAGGCGCAGCCGAGCCTGGGCCCCGCAGCCGCCTCCGCCACCGCCCCCTCCTCTGCTTCCCTCGGATTTTGGCGCTTTGGCTTCGGGCTATAAGAGCCCGCCTGTTATTGGCTTTATATAGTCCAATTAGGCAGCAAATGAGGACAAACCTATTAGCACAAAAGGATATTGGCTCTCGCTAAAGAGGCACTCGGAGCGCTCCTACCAGCGCGGGAGGCGATCGAGGGACCGGGTGAAGGCGGCGCCCCCGGCCGGCCAGAGCGCACTGACAGCCGCGAGCCCAGAGCGGGCGCCTCCCTCTCCCCCTTGCGGCTCGGGAACCTGCTTCCCGCCGCCTGGCGCGGGGGAGGCGGGCCCGGCCCGCCAGGGTCACCTCGGGGTTATCCGAGCTCGCAGCTGCCGCTCCCCCCGCCCCCAGGGGCTTGGCGGGGGCCCGATGTCCCCACGCGGCTGCAAAGCCACGGTCGCTCGGGCCGGTGAGGCAGGACGCCGCCTCCGCCGGGGACCAACTCAGTACTTTCTACCCTTCGGGGTCTGGTGGCCTTAGCATTTTCCCCAAAGCCTTCGGAGAAGGGCGTGGCCGGGAAAGGGGGGATTCCGGCTCCCCACGCACCGTGTAGCGGCAAAGAAGAGAGTATTGCGTTGCCGTCTGCGGGCTCCGGAATCCGCGTAGCCTCGGCCTTGGGCCCTGAGCACCGAGGAGTGAAGCTTCGGGAAGGAAAGTGGGAGTGCGACTCTGTGCACCCGCGTGTGCGCGCAGAAGCCGCCGGCGTCCGCGCTTCACAGATTGCTGCACTCCGAAGGGCACCTCTCCTCCGGATGCGGGTGTCCGCGGCTCAGAGACCAACTCCAAGCCTGCGATCTGAAGACAGCACTGTTTCCCCGGCCGACTTCGAGTGGCGTCTGGATCTGCCTGACGTTTTTAATAAGGACATCGAGAACCGAAGGCACAGTGCAGTCCCCTTCTCGGTTCTGACCGTGGCAGCGACACCTGCAGCTGGTCCCAAGGGCCTCCAAGTCCCTGGAGAACCACGTCGGGCCTCTGAGGAATAGCTGGGTAGAAGGTCACTGGACTCCATCGGCTTTAGAAACGGCTCTCCGGGTCGCTGTAGAGCCCGAGAGACAGGCAGTTTTAACAAGATTTCAGCAACAAATAAAACAGAAGTGTTGGTGGGCCCCCATCCCGAGGGACAGTTCTCTGCCAGAGAAACACGGCCATCTATCCTGCCCTGGTGAAGTTCCCGAACACCTGAGGCTCTCCGTGATTACGTCCCCTCCCCACCGTTTTCTTTTTCTTTCGGTTGAACCTTAGCTAATTCAAGCTTGTCCTGTCTTGTACAGACATGTCTGTTTGGGGTCCCCAAGTGAGAAGTAGGGGTGTATATAGATATATATGTATCTTCAGCAGATCTTGATAGTCGGGTCTAAGGTCTTGCTATTCAAAGTAACGAACCCTACATTTTGCCTTGTAAGTGGCTTTTCCACAATTATAACTGCTATGAGTTTGTACTAGACTTTACTGAAATGCAAAACGACACATCTTCTGAAGTCGGAGTTGGAACCTATCACAGCCCCGAGGCTCCAGCAGAGTGGGTTACAACGCTCGGATTTTATAAGTAGAGAAAGGTGTCTGGACCTTTCCAGAAGACCGGACCTTAGTCACCCACAGTGCTGAACACCAGAAGGTCATTCTCCCCTAACGGCAGAAATCGTTCTGCACCCGTGGTCTATGTGGGTTCGGTGCGGGCTGCTTAGACACTGCACACCTGGTGGCCCAGCAAGTGGCAAAAGAGGTCGCTGATGGTATGCGCAGGTGTGGACTGGAGCGGATGTACGCATAATCACTCAAGTTGTGACGCACCCGACCTACTTTAAACTGGGAAAAGAGGAAAAACATCCCATTTTCCCAAGATGGAGGTGGTGACTCCGTGACAGAGTATTTCTCTACCTACCCTGTGAGGCTATGGGTTCAGTCACCAGGGCAGCAAAAGAAAAAAAGCGACCCCCATGCTCCCCAAAGTGAGCCCGCAGGCATGGAAGATATTCTGTCCGGGGCAGTGGGCTCTTGGCTGGTCACAGCTTCCAAAGACCCAGATATGCCAACCCGACCCGAGGAGCCCTTTGCCCATAGGTAGTCCTATCCTGACGCTTTGTCATGCCAACAAGTGAGCCTTCCTTTCCCACTGGGCGCGCGCGTGTGTGTGTGTGTGTGCGTGTGCGTGTGCGTGTGCGTGTGCGTGTGTGTGTGTGTGTGTGTGTGCGTGTGCGTGTGCGTGTGCGTGTGTGTGTGTGTGTGTGCAGGTGCATGTAGAGGCTTTGCTGCGGGGCGGGCGTTGTTGGGTGTCAGCATCCCAGCCATCTTCTGCCTTTGGGATGCTGGACTTGAGCAACGGGAAACGTAGGGCAGATCTTTCCTTCCTCTTGGGCAATACCCTCGCCCTCTGTCGTGGGGTGTTGCCTCAAGCTTCCCGGAGCCCATGACGCCATTCAAAGCCAGGCAAACGGCGCCCTCTATGGGGTATGCCCAAGTCTGCAGGCGGGGCTGGAGAAACCACAGAACCCTTGCGAAGTATTTAAAAAGCCATTGCGGTCTTTCTTTTGGCTGCTGCCTTTAGAGAGCAAAAACATTTTTTTGTTTGAGTTATGGGAGAAGCTATGGGCGAAATCTCCTGCAGATCTTTACCCAACCACCGTTTGGAAGAAGTCTCGCTCTCCTCCCCGCTTTCCTGCCTCCCTTTTAAGGTTCATTCTTGGCATCTCAGTGCAGTCTTTTTTCCTTCAGTGTTGTCTCTCCTGACTGCAGTTTGGGCTTGAACTCCGGGATGGATGGTGGGAGAGGCGAGGGGGAGCCTTATTTGGCTTTTGAGGACTAGGTGCACAGCTGGCCAGTGAGTGAATGCCTTGGAAAAGGCTTGTGCTAATGCTTGAATGCTTGAGTTAGGTGAGTGAGTGAGTGGAAGGATGGATAGGTGGGTGGAGGAGGGAGGGCCAGGTGGCTAGGTGGATGGATGGATGGATGGATGGATGGATGGGTAGATGGATAGGTACGTTCACAGTTCCCACGGCAGAGGTTTAGCCTGCTTGGTTAGAGTCGTTCAGAGACTCTGACTCTCCAAAGCAGTTTTCAGAGAATTTAATGAAAATCGAAGGGGTTGTTGTTAGTGGTGGTGGTGGTGGTGGTGGTGGTGGTGGTGGTGGTTAAAACTGTAGTAGAGTCAGAATTTTGTTTCAAACCTGTGTTCCTCTTATATTATTAAATGTTTTTCCCCAGCACAACTGGATTCTCTGCCTGTAGGCTTGGTCCACGCTCATTATGGCCTCAAGAAATTGTGACCTGCTTGGATATGCCCTACAATTGTCAGGTGTGATAATTTTGTCCAACAACATTCTCTTCAGTGCTGGTTACCATCAGCATAATCCCTTAAAAGAATAAAATATTAAGCCGATAAACTAAAGCCTAGGAACTTTGGCTTGTGCACCTGGGAAAGGAAAAGAAGCATACTTGGATCAAATCTTCTGCCTTGGCCATATGAAGATAATTTTCTCTGACCGATTTAAAATGAATCTAGGGGCAAGAGTGATAGCTTAGTGGTTAAGAGCATTGCAGAGGACCCAGGTTCAGTTCCCAGCACTCACATGACATCCAACAATTGTCCATAACTCCAGTTCCAGAGAATCCAATGCCTTCTTCTGGTCTCCACAGGCACTGAAAGACACAGGTGCACTTACATACATGAAGGCAAAATGCTCATATACATAAAATAGAAATAAATAAATTACTAGAGAGATTGTTCAGTGATTAAGAGCACTGGCTGTACTTGCATAAGACCCAGGTTCAAATCCCAGTACCCACACAGCCGCTAACAACCATCTGTAACTCCAGTTCCAGGAGGTCCAGTGCCCTCTTCTGGCCTCTGCAAGCATTGTACAACATGATGCACACAGGCAATACACATAGAAATATAAAATAAAAAGGAAAGTATGGGAACCAGCTAAGTGGTGTGTGTGTGTGTGCGTGCGTGCGTGTGTGCGTGCGTGCGTGTGTGTGTGTGGGTCAGTGATTAAGAGCACTGGCTGTACTTGCATAAGACCCAGGTTCAAATCCCAGTACCCGCACAGCCGCTAACAACCATCTGTAACTCCAGTTCCAGGAGGTCCAATGCCCTCTTCTGGCCTCTGCAAGCATTGTACAACATGATGTACACAGGCAATACACATAGAAATATAAAATAAAAAGGAAAGTATGGGAACCAGCTAAGTGGTGTGTGTGTGTGTGCGTGCGTGCGTGTGTGCGTGCGTGCGTGTGTGTGTGTGGGTGTGTGTGTGTGTGTATGGAAATGTCACTTACATGGCTGGTGCCCATAGAAGTCAGAAAAGGGCATTGGATCCCCTGGAACAAGAGTTACAGGTGATTGTAAGCCACCAGGTGAGTGCTGGGAACCAATCTCTGGTCCTCTGCAAACACAACAAGTGCTCTTAACCACTGAGCCTTCTCTCCAGACCTCTTTATTCACTCTTAAAGATGATCTTACAGGCCACAAAGCTGTTCAGGCCGGTTTCTCTGAGAAAGCCAGGGTTCCTTACTCCGCTGCCTTCCTGTGCACACTCACTTGTCTTCCTTCCTAAATAGGAATCTTCACTCCCATTTGTTCACAGGCTGCTCTCTATC